AAAATGATAAGATAAGATTCTCCCCTTGAAAGTTCTCTTCTGGAGACTTCACAGCGTCTTTCAAATCACCTGTACATGCTGAATTAAATGTACGTTAATGCTGTCTCCTGATACCTTGTGTGGCAGCGTTGAAGCCCTCGACCAACTTGGCCGAATTCTCGCTGAAGAAACGCTGGCGGTACATGATGCGCACGTCAGCGTGGCAGCTACGGTTCAGGACATCGGTGAAGTCGCTCATCAGCAGAGAGAAGCCGTCTGCTGCCATCGGACCCAGATCAGTGTCATCGAGCAGAGAGAAGAGCTGCACAGAAGACAAATGGCAACACAAAGCAAGTTCACCAAAGTGTATTTTTCCATCTTACATTTACATGACGGTTTGAAACAGTGGATGGAGTTTACTGTCGTTACCTTGTCAGTCAGAGTTGTGAACAGAGGGTGGTACCGCAGAAGCAGAGCCTTGGCAACCTGGAGACAAGAGAACCTTTAGTGCACTTGTTTCTGATACTAATGTGTAAACTGCCTTACAGATCATGGTGAATAAATAATAAACTAATATCTTACCCTTGTAGAGTATCATGTACAAAATGTCTTAAAGAGACTGCAGTTTTAACATTTACAAGTTTATAATTAGTTGTTAGATGTTAATTAGAATATGGTTGCACACTCTGATGTTTAAAAGTGTATTATTATTCTCACACTGTACATTCCTGCCTCAACCTCACATCTGAGACACTCTGTTTTCTCTGTCTCTTTCAGGCCGGTCTGCTCTGATGGGTCAGCTGGCCAAAAAGCAAGGTAACACTGGCTATGTGCCATAAACCCAGATCTATGAGTTCAGGTAGAGCTCTAGTGTCTCTAGTGGAGAAGTAATGGTGGACTGCGAGGATGCTGCTCATTCTTTGTTGGAGGATGTGGTCAAACCAGCCGCTAGTCAAGCGTTATGCAGATGTTACATGGTGATGTAAGGAAGTAAGAAAAGTCTCGACTTCAAACAAGGCGTTTTAGGCAAGTAAGGAGCAGTGTTTTCAATGGGAGAGGTGTGGACTTTAGGCTTAGGAAGTTTGCGGACCTTTTACATGTACAAAAATGCAGCTGTACAAAGAATGAGGAAAGGGGAAAAACCCCAACAAGCATAATATTTAATTCTCTGACCAAAACTAGTATCTCAGAGTAACTAGTAACTAGAGAGGAAAGTTCTCTTGGTAGACTTGGAGAAAGTACGATTTGGAGACAGAGGTAAAGATGCTGAAGAAGCTGAGTAACTCTTACCCAGATCATAAGTGTGAAGGCCTGAATGCGCACAGAGGAGGAGGCTGAGTCCAGCTCACTACACACTCTCTTCATTGTCCTCTGAATCAGGCTGTCGAGAGAATCACCTGCAGAAGAAACAAAAACATCACAATTAGTTAACAAGAACAAGCAGTCCTTGGGTTTGAGACAAAAACTGACTTCTGACAGAAGCGTAGCAACACTAACTGACCCTGTGGACTCTTGTTGACCAGACCAGCAAAGCACTTTGCAGCAGACGTGTAGGAGAGCTGGTGGCTGCAGGAGCAGCTCATCTCCTCCAGCTCTGACAGCAGCTGGTCAATCTGAGGAACCTCCACCTGGAGGACACACAACACTTTCACAATACAGCTTCAGAAAATCCAAAAAGATTTTTGTAAAATCTGAATTTGGTGTTGAAGTTGAGACTCACACTGCGAGGCAACGAACACACACAACCCATGAGGAGACAAACCATCTGGGACTGGCTCCACGAATCCTTCTGCTGCTTCTTGGAGAAATGTTGTTTTTTTTAGTAATGTGACATATTGTAGTTGTGGAAATCCTTACACTAGGTTCATAATCAATACCTAAAGTATATACAGTATGCAGATAATATATAATTCAGTATACAGTTGGATTATTGTGTTGGATTATATAATATTTTCTGGTTTCTTTCCTCCTTTATGACTGTAAAATGAACATCTTTGAGTTGTGAATCAAAACAGACATTTGAGGACGCCATCTTGGGCTTCAGGAAACACTGATCAACATTTATCACCATAACACTTTATAGATCAAATAAGTCATTGATTAAATTAAGAAAGTAATTCTCAGATGTATTCTTTTACATCTAATCAGACGATCATGAACATTTAATAATGATAACACAGTATTTAAATTTTTAAAAAAACTATTTGAGGACATCCAAAAACGTACTCGTGTATGTGTTTGTATACAAAAACTCACTTTGAGCAGCTGAATGTGTGAAGGGAAGGAGTTGTCGGGCAAAAAGGAAACATCACCGTCCAGGAAGAGAGACACAGCCCTCGACGCCGTCTGAGCCGCCAACCTGACGACATGAAACAGCCCGAAAGGAAACCACATGAAAAAGTCTCTGATTATATCACACAAACAAATCAGAGAGACTCACAAGGAACAAAAAATGTGCAAAACAGATCGGAAATAGTGTCTGAAACATTCACATCTGCAGGTGTGAAAAAATAAAAAAAGGAATGTAAAGCAGGTAAAAGCGACTTGTACAGTCTCACAAGTGGCATTTTGGAAAGTCAAAGTGCGATTAGTTTGTTTCTACGTTTGGATGAGTTGAGATGAGTCAGAAAAGAGCGAAAAGTTACGGTGTGGTAATGTGGTAAGAAGTGCTCACAATAAACACCGAAGTATGAGATAAATGAGAGTGTTTGTACTGACGTGGGCTGCAGCCTGGAGCAAGAACTACTGATGACAGGAACCATAGCAGACAGAACCGCCGCCTCCACCAGAGGACTGCCAACACCAGGGGAGCTGTCACCTGAAACACAGACAGGGCAGGATGTTTGAATTTCAGCTTTAATAATCCACTTCACATGTTTTACAGATATGGGCAGAGCAGAGGGGAAGTCAATAAGTCAAACCTGCTAGAAAAAGCATTATTTGATCTCTTAATAGATTTAGCTTTTATATCTAATAACACATAAAGTCTCCAGCAAACTTTCACAAAGTAACAGCACAGAGAATATCCATCCATCCACTATCGATACACGGCTTAGTCCTCACTGGGGTCGCAGGGGGCTGGAGTCTATCCCAGCTGACCCTGGACAGGTCGCCAGTCTATCACAGGGCAAGAGACAGACAACCAAGCACACTCACATTCACAGAGAGAATATGACTGAATAAAAATAGTCAGAGTAGAGAATGAGTTATTCGATGAGACTGGAGTACATGTTTATGCTGAAGGGTAAAAGAGGAGAATATGATCATTTGAATTCATCAGCTGCTCACCCTGCAGTGCAGCCTGCAGCGCCAGAGACAGCAGGCGTGGAATGATGACGCTATGGAAGCACTGCCCCGTCTCCTCCGTGTCCTCCACCTGCTCGGCTATCCTCTGAAGGCTGCGGCACGCCAGCACCACCTCGTCCACCGAAAAACTAACACCACCTGGAGTTAACAGGAAGCGACTGTGTTATTCTGAAGATAATTTGGTCTCTTCATTTGTAGAGTGAGACTATTCCTGCACATCAACGCACATCACTGTATGCAATAACTGATTCATGTCCTTTGAAAGAAGCTCCGCAGGGATCTAAAGTGTCAGCTAGAAATACTGATTCCTACAATGCAGTATTTGATGCTAAAGTTACCGTATCACGTATCACTGTCCTGCTTGACCATCAGCTTTTTGTATTCTGAGACCAATTAACGCTATAGCTTGTAAAAATGCAAATCGTTCTGCCTAAATATGGACAGTTCATATCTTCTTCAAGGAAATTCATGGCTATTTCTTCATACTCTAAGATGAGTTGTTACTCAAGTGGTGTGCTGTCTATAAATCTAAATGGTTGTTTATCTTCTGACATTTTAAGTCTGTTTACTTCCACCAGTCTCATAAGAATGACTCTATGCCTGAATCTGAAATCTGAAACTCCTCTTTGCAGACAGATTACCTGTGTGTGCTGAACTGAGGACCTCCAGGAGGACAGGTGTGCTCTCCTGGACAACACTGGCTTGTTTGGACACAGCAGCCAGAGCAGACAAACACCGCTGACGCATTGCATGATGGGAATGTTGCTGAGAGGGTTCTGTGTGGTCTTGAGCCATCGGCTCTAAAAAGAGGAGACAACAAGGTTTGTCAGGTTTATTCATGCAGATTAAAAACTCGGGAAAATGCAATCAGTGTATGTTGTATTTCATATCTGTTTTGTTTTTGTCTTGAAAACTTGAATGTATCCAGAATGAGTCACTCTGACACAATTATTATTATCTGTGCAGTGTTTGAACATGTTTCTGAATTTGCATATGTGCCATTTCCACAACATGTTTACCAGAAAACATCTCCTTCTTTAGTCTTGGGATCAGTTTAGTGATAAAAGCTGCAGGGTGCAGCTCTGCTAAAGCTCCAGCACACTCCACCACTGCAGCACTGGAAACAGAAAAAGGACAAAGACAGAAGAGACACAGTTAAGTTCAATTACAAGAAAATAAATAAAATCAAACAGGGGTCACAGATGACAGAGATGGGTGAAAACTGATGAAAGCGTGTCCACCATGAGCTGACCTGACTCTGTCATCCTCCTCAGTCAGCAACAGTCTGGTGAGGTGATCTACTGCTAGTTCAATGTCAGAGTTCAGGAGCAGACCTGAGAGACAGACAAAGACAGGGGACAGTTACAGCATTTGGAAAACTTCTGACAAATTCTCATTAAAAATTTTAAAACCGCGGCTACAAAGTGTGTTACAACATAAAAAATACACAGAGAAAAATAACTAACATTAAAGCCAGGAGACAGTAAAAACAGCAAATAGTTAGAGGCATGATAAATCCAAATATTGTGCCCAGTAACTGAAGAAAAAGACGCTAACTCAGAAAAAGACCAATCTTCAGCTGTGACAGAGCAGCAGATTCTCACTCCCCTCGTGTTCTCTGTCTTGAGTGAGATACTGCTAGCAGGAGTCATTACAAAGTGTAAATATGAGAGTTTAAAGCAACTCACCTGTTTGTTGTGCCAGTGAGATGAGCACAGAGGTGGCAGTGATCTGCAGACTGGAGTTACTCTCAGAGAGAGCTGAAAACACGATGCTGCACAGAGCATCTCTGAAGGCTGACAGCACACTCTCGTCTAAAGAGAAGACATCAGAAACAGATGAGCTCAAATCTGTAGCTTGTTTTAAAAAGTCAGGAAAAGTAATTCTGACCTTAGGCTAATTGGTCACATACATACAGCACCTAAAAATAAAACAAACCTTTATGAAGATCATTTATGACTATTGCAGAAACATATTCCACTGTACATCTGCCAATGTCATGTTTGCTTTTAAAAAAATACTTGTTTTTGCATATTGTAGTACCTTTATGTTGGTATTTCTTTTGCCATAGTACAGGATGTTTTAGCTTAAATAAGGTCACACAGTGTCTAAGATATCAGCGCCGCTATGACGTGTGATGTGAAAATAATTACATCAAAAGGAGACGTGCAGACATAAATATGAAACAAATGTAGGGCGAAACAAATCAGGGAGTAATTTGACTAATTTCATGGCTATGTATTGGTATTTAAGTTGAACGAGGCGTAGCTGTGATCAGAGGAAATCAAACAGGATCAGTGAGAAGCTGCATTTGATGCTCTGAAGCAGAACAGCAGTAAACTCACCGCTGACTGAAGGCTGGCTGGTTCTGACTGACTGGACAAATCGCTGCACCACTTCCAGCAATGTCCGTCTGTGGGAACACTGTTCAGAAAAAAAAAGGATTATTATAAAGTTAATGGTGTCAACACAACATCAAAGCCCTATTTTAATTTTCTGAAACCAAAAAAATACCAGTGGTCTAGATGAGGAATTTCCAGAGTCTAACAATGTGGTCCTCTCGTCAGACAAAACGTACAAAAAAAGCCTCATGGCCTCTTTTCCGTTTACTCACTTAGTTCTGCTTAATTCCTGAATGCTTGTGGGATCATTATCTGATCTCACAGATACTCAAAAACTGAGCCAAGATCGCCTCATATTGCTTATTTTACATAACTTCAGACTACACAAAATACTTGAGAAAAGCTCTGTCCTCAGACATGCATTAGTCTCAGACTCTGGGAAAGTGGGGAAAACAGCAAATTCCCTGAAAGGACAGTATCTCTGAACTATCTCTATGACGAAAGAACATATTTACACTGCTCTATGTGACACTTTCATTCACTGAGCCTCACTAGAAACAGCCTGGAGCCCTCTGTCCACTTCTACATCCTTTGGTCTATGTGATTGCATTACACCAATAGTAAAATCTGTCCTCCTCTTCCCACCATGAAATACCATAAAACTTGCACATATGAAACTAAATGAATAGGTGGACATGAGCTGTCTTTCTTGCCTGTGTCCTGCTGTTGTACTGCTCGATGAGAGAGGGCATGACAGCTGCTGCTACGATGTGACTCGCCCTGTTGGAGGCGCAGCAGGCGGCCTGGAGCAGCTTGGCACTCGGCCACACAAGCTTTAAGTCGGGCTCACAAAGGTGATGCTGGCAGTCTGGAACAACATCAGAGTTTCAGTAAATAAAACACATAATAAGTAGAGAAGGCTTTCCTGCCATTAGAAGGGGCTGAAATTCTGAGGTGTCACATGGACAACATTTCTTTAACATGATTGAAATCTTTCTGGTTAGAGATTCACACTTTACAGTTGTGGACATTATTTAGTGGTCTGATGAGATGTGCATTTCTGTGCCACAAAGCATTTATTCAGAACATGAGTATTCACACACACTGGTGGTTCAGCCCGTAGTAAAGCGTAACATAACAGATTTTTTTCCAACTTTATCGAATGTAAATTCTTAACTATTATCTGAACAATCTCAGCAGCACAGTATCCTCTGCGATATTTACAGTCCTCAAATGTATTCATGCCCTTCCATTAAAGAAAAGGCAAAATTCACAATAGTCACTCAAATAACTAGAAACTGAAAAAACTAATAACAAATACAAATTTGCTAAATTATAATTTAGTGAAAAAGGCATTGCTTTTGATTTGTGGTTGAAAAGAATAATTAAAAAAAAAAAAAACTGTCCTGGACAAATTAGAGCACTTTGCTGATGAGCAGTGGACCAAAATCAAAATAGCTGTCAACAGGTGCAGAAGTCTGATGGAGAGTTACAGAAAACACTCGATTGCAGTGATTGGCTCAAAGGGCTGTTCACCAGTGGATGGGAGTCTGAAGACTTATGGAGTGGAGAGTTGTTCACACAGAGTTTAGGAGTGGAACGCAGGGCAAACATGCAGAAAGAATATATTTAATCCGACCAGAAACAAACGATCGGATTAAGTGTTACACAGTTATTGTGAGCCAATATTTTCCTAGTTAACGGATCATCAAAATGTTTATGTAACCCCTCTTAATGTGATTGGAAATTCCTTCTGATTGAGCCAGTGTGTTCCAATTGAGATGGTTACGAGAAGCATTTTAATCTGACTGGGCTCCTATTCTGATTTTTAGTGGAATATTAACACACACGTACACACAGCCAGTGATGAGTCTCTACAATACTGACACTGAAGTCTAAACCCAAGACAGTATTTTATAATTACAGTCAAGAATCCTTTTTAAAAGACTTACAGATTTTACAAGGTTTCTAATAGTCACTTACTTTAATGTGAAGAAACAAAAAAATAAATAAATAAAAAGGCTGCTGGTTAAAATGAAAAAAAAAAGGAAGAGGCACTGTGGTATAAAAATAGATAAATGAGTTTCCTGCCCCGCTACTTAAGCAGTGTCACACTAT